GGATTAGGAGAGCCCACCTGCCCCCACCCATCCTCACAACCTTCTACAGAAGTACCATAGAGAGCGCTCTGACCAGCTGTCTCACTGTGTGATGTGGAGGCTGCAGCTCCTCAGACTGGAAGAAAGTGAGAAGAGTGGTGAGAACAGCTGAGGGGATCATCGGGGCTCCTCTTGCCTCCATTAAAGGCATTTCATCCAAGTGCTGTGTCTCCTGAGCCCGTTACATCATCAATGACCCCTCACGCCCCCACCATGGACTGTTCTCACTGCTGCCCTCTGGGAAGAGGCTCCACAGCATTTGATGCAGGTCCAGCAGATCCCAAAACAGCTTCTTCCCCACCATCATCACACTGCTGAACTGTTGGGGGGGGGGGGGGAATTTTAAAAAACTTTAATTCAAGTCACAGACTCGGCATCACACTGATAACACCAAACCAAACTGGTGCATATTTGCACCATATACATCTGTCTTGAAATGCCCTGAACCTCCATATCAATGCGTTTTTGTGTTGATAACTAAAACTGTTTACAGTTGATCTCTGCTGCACTTTCTGGGATAGAAATGTTAATTTCACTGCCAAGCTACTGCTTATTCTCTGTCCAAAAGCTGTACAAAACGAAATTTACTCTGTGTATACAACATTTAAAACCACTCATTTGCAACCTAACAAACATGTATAAATTGTTTTTCTCTTGAGGTGGCAGGGATTTTTCAAAGGGGGAGGTGTAGCTTTTTTTCCACTGATAATTTGACATGTTTGTTGTGAGACATGGAGTCATGTAAAGAATGACTGTTGGGTGTTTGCTTTAGTTTTTTAGGTTTTGCCCTTAAAATGTTGCCTTGTTGCAAATGGTATTGTATTTGTAATTTGTCGGTTTTTCCCCTTTTGCACCTGCTGTTGAAGGACCATTTGCATATGCCATCAAACTGAACACACACACGTCTTTTATGTTGTCATTAGACCGGTTCAAACTTGTCTGAAGATTTTTAGTTTCCCAGGAAACTCATCCAGTCTTGGTGAGAGGGCTGGAATAAATGCATAAAAGAAGGAAAGGATGGCTTGGATTTGCATGTGCAAACCTGTGTTTATCCTAACCCTCTTCAGATACCAGGGACTTGGTTTTCTGTGTGAGCTTGTCAACCTGCTTTACTACATTGTTTGTCTTTCAACAAATTTGATAAGATAAATAGTCCTATCGGTAAATAGAGAAGTACTGTCCTGATTGCTTTGGTCAATTTGCTTCATTACCATGTTGGGCCCTAATTTTGACATTTTATACTTCAACTTTGCAATCATGTTTTGCCACTTTCTTCCACCTTTATAGTTTTTGTTTGGTGCCCATGTATGTACTTTCTGTAAGCAGTGTATTGTTTTCTTAATAGGGTAAACCTTTTAATGAAATGATCTGAAGGAAATATTGAAAACTAATCCAACCTCATGTGGAATGATTTTTAAATGCCAATACATGCTTCGTTGGATATTTGATGTAATGTTTTGCCGTTGCTTTTGGCTCTAATAGTGTGGCATTATGACCCAGAAATGAACATGGTCCACTCTGAAAGACCTATGACATTTCCTTAAAGCTGAGTAGATTGTAATAAAACACTTCCTCTGCTATTAAAGCAGGAGCAAAGTATCCCTGTAGCAGTTTTAATTTTGTTCACGCAAATTGTTTTTTTCATGGAGGCTCCTTGTTACCCCACAAAGTCTGTAACAGGACCACCAAACATACAATAAAGCAAAAGGCCAAAGTTGGTTAGCAACTAATTCCTCTGTCAAATCTGGCCATGTGCTGAAGAGACAGTCCTGCCGTTCATTCTGGGTTAGTTGGAACGTGGATGCAACAGAAGTAGATTATCACCCAACCCGTTGATTTAGTTTGTTTTTGAAGAAAAAATGAAATCTTGATCTCTCTTTGAACCAATATAAACCTTTCAGATGCTTTAAGGCATTAATCTTTTACTGCAATGTTTTTGAAAGTAAAGGATGTTGACCTTTGGTATAAAGGTTCTCTGCAGCTTGGCTCTCGGGTCAGAAAAAGTTCTCTAATCTGGAACTGCTGAAGCATTTCCTCTTTCACAGACAGTTTTTGCCTGGCTCTGATTGTGATTGAAGGAAATGAGGCAGCAGAAAAAGATGACAAAGGCTTTTTCAAAGAGCTTTAATGCATCCTCTTGTTTCTTCACCAAACTTCCAACACCTTCTGACTGAAGTTATGAGGGTTGCTTCCCTTGCTGAGGAAAGCTTTAATCTGCTGTTGACTTTTCATTTTTAAGCGTTTCATGAAAGAAAGTAGATGGCATGACGGACAAGACAAAACACATCCAACATATTTGGGTTAAACCTGATTAACTTTTGGTTAAATTGAAGCTTTTCTAATAAGTGTCTGTACAAGAGCTTGTTTTCAGACCCACAGTTTCCACACCCTTGATAATTGTCACATCTTTGCACCTACCGTAGTCACAGGTGCCACAGTCGTCTTGGGGGGGGGTGGGTTAGTATGACAGTAAAAGTTGGACAATGCAAGATTGCGTTGGTGTGGGTGTGGTAAATGTTATTTAACACCATATTCACTGGGTTATGCTTTGCTGATTAACTTCTGGTTAGACATCAGGCTGATAAATGGATTAATCTAGAGTAATTACATTTAGCTCTTGGGCAATTTTCCTGCTGGCATGGAGCTAATTAAAGAAGTACAAACTGTTTCACCCTACATCTTCCAGGTGACATATCCACATCTCAGTGCTGCTCTTTATAATTAGGGTTATATTGTGCTTTCTTGGTGTGTTTGATGTAGTGCAACACAGACCTAAAAGAGACATTTTATGGAAGAAAGAAACTTAAAGAACGGGAGCATAAAACACCCAGGCATAAGTGTTTTGTAAATAAGTGTCCTTGTCAGTAAAAGTTTAACATAGAGCTAGTCCTAATCCAGTATTGCATTTAAATTCTCCTGTCTTGTGTTTTTCCGGAATGGAATAAAGGTAAAGCTATCACTACCTAATGCTAGCTTGGTATAGTGTTCATATACACAATAAGCCCAGCATACAAGAACACAATTGTTGAAGAAATTGGTTTATTAGAATAATTATGCTAATAAGCGTTGACTTTGTAGCAAATCTGTGACCAGCAGTTTTCTGTCATATTTTCAACACAGCTTGTTACTGTTGAAACTGCATCCTAGCAGGTACTACAAATAACAGTTCCAAGTTAAAAAGTACTAATTGATAAGTTTAAAAAGTGAGTCGAGTCATAAAATGCAAAGAGATGTTGCTACAGGATAATGGCCATGGAAATTTTAGATGCAGAGTGCCTACCTTAAAGCAATCTCCTCCAAAGCTGGGCTCATAATGGCACATAATACATTTACTTCAACAGAAGTTACGCAGAGCAAAGAGATGGTGCTTTTTGAGAGCTTCTTGCTCAATTTTGACATAATGCTATATGATTAAGTATTGTGAGCTCAGGATCCACTATAGTGCCTGGTATTGTGGCAACTTTTTTCTCGCGATGATGGAAATGCTTTCTAGATTGTGGAGAGAAAAGGAGAAAGGCCCAAGGAGCATGGTTTATATCATTCCAGTATCTAGGTTGAAGGACAGTAAGGATGTAGACACTCAGTAAACTATGGTTCAGAGAATGATATACAATTAATTTGCTTTTCTTGATGTTCTGTTGGTGGAGCCTTCACTTACAATCAGTCTTTCTTTATCCTGCAAAGTTGGAGACCCTCAATGCTGCGTGTTATAGTTAAAATACTAGAAAAGTAGAACAGGGTGCATTGCTCTGCATTTTGTACCTTGTGTTATTGCATGGTGGAAAAACGATCACTCTTTAGCTCACACTCCATGGCTCAGTCGATAAGGGCTTTGTGGTCCTGCCATGGTGAGTCAGATTCATTATAGGCCTCGGGTCGGGCCCACCTTCCTCAGAGCAGTTTTGGTAATAACAGGAAGTACGGCCACTGCTGCTCATGGTAATTAGCAGCTGTTCAGAACGCTAGACAGCCTGATTATAGCAGTGGCAGCGGACAAACACATGCACCGCTGAACTGCAAATCTCATGTCACAAAGCTGTGTGAGCAGAATAAAAGCTTCAAGAAACACGCATTAAGATGCCTCAGGGAAATGTTTATCATCATGTGCACATTCATGATGCGCCATTTGTGTTTACATCAGCAAGTGTTGTGTTGCCCTAGCAGCTGCAGAGCAGGCTCCATCACGTCTGAAGAATGAGGTAAAGTTTTTATAACACAAGTCCCTTAAGCTTACTGCTGTGCTGATGCTGTTCTTACACACAGAGTGGGTTACATGCAGCTGGTATCTCCTCCCAGTACTTAGCAGAACCACAAACAGTCAAAGGGTGTAATAAAGCTGCACTTTTTATGTCTTTTTTTTTTTTTTCATTATTATGAAAAGCCTTGTAAGGACAACATGGAGAACAACTCCTGTGATAACATGCTGGCCTTCACAGCAGAACCAAATTGGTTCTGCTCTACTTAGGCATTTTAGGGCCGTTTTTTTACCATTACAGCTTTACAACACTGTTTTCTTTTGTGTTTGCATTTAAAGTATAGTTTAATGAACACCCCAGTTATTTTTTGTAAGGTTTTTTTTTTTATGGATGTAACATAAAAGGAACAGTTTAAGAAGACTTGGTAACTTTTGGTCCAGACATGCACCGCCTGGCTGGGCTATCGATGCGCTCTGCATTGTAATTGTGGTATTCAGTAGATGATTGCTCATCTAAACCTTTTTCCTTTTCACTGTTCTTGAACACATTGATGGAAGCTCATCACCGTCTCAGTTGTCATTGGAAACGGGGCCTCTGAGACAAGGTTGTAATTTAATTCAGGCCTTAGTGACAGAGACATGGTGCTTTTCAAAACTGTGCATGTTTTGTATCAAACTGCCAGGCATGTTGATGTCAAGATGGGTTTGTTGCACCACCCTCCAACACCCAGGCTTTATCATCACTGTTGGTTCTGTTTCCCTACAGGAGCATTCTGAACCAGTGGGATGTTAGCTGTGGCTGAGACAGCAGGAGTGCCTGAAGGAGCATGGTGAAACACCAACCCCTCCAAGTCTATGAGCGCCAGCTGTGCTTGTCATGCATCACTGGGATCTATGGGTGCAGGTGGAAACGTTATCAGAGGTCACATGATGACACCACCAAGGTTTGTTTATTTACTTCAAAGTATGCCACCTTTAACTTGGAAGAATAAGCCACCTCTTCTAGCACTGCTTTTTTTTTGGGGGGGGGTTGTAGATGGTTTGTAGAGAGCATTTTCTTTATTGCCATGTTCTGGAATCTAAGTATTTATGCTAGACTGACATTACAATAAACATAGCATGAAAAACTGTATTTGATTGTCACCATGTGCATAAAACACTCAATGCATCAGTGGTTCTAGATACTGACCGGTTCTGATGTAAGCTGGTGTAAGGAAAGTGTTTTTCCCTTTTTAATGAACACACAGGTGATATAACATGGCGTATTATGTTTTTATATTTTACAAACATAATGCCTAATTCCCACGTGCAAAAAAAATCAAATGATTTTCTTTATTTGTAAAACAAAGGATGTTAACAATTTGGGGGCAGCATCCTCGGAGGGACACGAACCCTGTAGACCACAAAAACAACGCAGGCAGGACACAATCTGGGATAGTCTAGCCTCAGCAGCCGTCCCTGTCCTCACCTCAGTGTAAATTTGGTCATCTACCAACCGTGACAGAATGGGAGATAAGTCTATGAAGCTAATGCAGCCTGAACCTTTGCCTTTTAAACCTTTTTCCTGATATAAATACAAATATTATCAAAAGAAACCCAAATCTTACAAGCTACAAATAATGCCATGCACTTTATTTACGATTAGTCTACAAAATCCAAGGGGAGGGCCTCATCCACCATATGACTGAAGTTAAAGTAAAGCCTATGAATAATCATTGTTTGGATGAAAATGAGGTGTCTTGATTAATTTTATTTATGCGACACATGTAGTAAATCAGAGTATGTCGTGAGCATTTTTTTGTGTAATATTTAAAAATAGTCAAAGAAAAACGGTGTATATTTGTAAAAGCAAACTTATAATATTTAAAAACGTATGTTTGTGTAGAAGGTGTTTCGCAAGAACAATCAGGTTTATGAAAGTTAAAGTGCTAATCCACATTAATAAGGCACATTATGCTTCTTGCTCAGATCTTCTTTCAATCCTTTAATTATTCATATCCTAATATCGCCCTCAATAGATTTAAATAAAATGATCTCATCTTGAAGCTTAAATTAAATAAATTAGGGGAAAAATTTCTTCCCCAGCTGCTTTTTGTATCCTGGAACCAGTTTTCTTCCAGGGTTTCTCTCCATATAGCTCCCTCTCTTTTAGTTGGCTACGACCAGCTTCCCCGTCTCTGCTAAAGATGAGCATTCCCACAGGATAATTTGTCCAACACCCTGTTTCACAATGAAAATAAAATCTCCTGGGTTGTGTTGGTCTGTTTTTTTGGACTTTTTTGACCAGGCCACCTTCTTCCTACATGACTTTTAACCGAACACAGTGGGTTCTTATGATTTTTTTTTTTTTTTTTTTTTTTTGTATGTATCACATACAGAAAGGCTGACAGAAGCTCCTAGTATCTGTGTAATTTAGCTTCTCAAAGAACAAGAAAACAGTTGCCTCTTTTGCAGACTTTGAAATTTGTAACATATTTACTCTACCAAGTCACTATTTCTGAAATATAACCAACCTTACTGTATCATGCATTCATCTTTTAGTATTATGTTTACCTATGGTATACTTATGTTCTTTGTGTGAGAAGTACATTGTTTGAGGGATTGCTTGCATTGTTGCTGTAATGGCGAGTGTCTGGAGAACAGTAGGAACGAGGTGAAGTTGTAGCTGCTTTCCAATGATTATCTCTGAAGATAATTAGGAGCTGTGCACACCCTCAGTTGTGCGCATTTTCTCCCATAGAGCTGGAAATGAATGAGCCCTGATTATCTTGTTGTGTCAGGAGGTTTTTTTCACAATAGACAGCTGGCTTGTATGAGAAAGAAAGCTGTTGAGTGATATAGTTGTTTGTTTTATTATGGCTCCTACTGAATTTTGTGTTTTACTGTGTTGACAAATCTTTGGGACTTTACCATTAAGATTTAATGTGTTACTTAAATGTATATCTGTAGGTTTTTTTTTGTTTGTTTGTTACAAACTAGCTGGAGACGTCTTGCTAGTCAAAATATTTTGCTATGATTTTTACATGTTAAAAATGTAAAGCAAACTTAACTCTACAGATTATATTAAGGATTGCTTATGAAATCTGCCCGAGTTCTTGTTCACCAATGCCTCTCTAGCACGTTGCACCCCCAGTCTCCTCGTGTGCTACCTGCTACATTGGTAGGTTTCAGGTTCTGGTCCCAAACACTCCCATACTGGCTTGGTGCTTTAACTTGTCATAGTAAGGATTTTAGATTTCGCATCAACACCACTTCTTGGTAGTGTGTAATTTCTTGCCTGCTAGTATGTCTGGCTCCATTCCGTTAGGTTTCTTTGCTCACAAACAGAAACACAACAGTTTGCATGCTGTGTATGCATTTGTATCGATTTAAAAACTCCACCCTGTTATAAAGAGGAATGAAGAATAGCAGCGGAAAACCTTTGATAAACAACTTTCCTGCCATGTTGGCTTTAGTTTTTCTCAGCTGCCAATCTTTTGTCTCCTAGAAAACCACATTCCACCCATCCTCAGTCTGTCAGTTCACTGGCTGCCTCCTTAGCATTCAACCATGCAGCCTGATTTCCATTTACAGCCATCTGTCACCTTCTGCCTTCAAAGGTTGTCCTTATATTCATTCAAAATTCATAAAAAAACGGGTTAGAGAATCATGAGGCAAAAACCAGAATGTATTTTCTGTAACAAAACGTAAGCCTAACAATGTAGCTACACCTCTTCTTAGCTTCACGTGTATTGTGTTCCACCTAAGCGCTAGTTTGGGTCAAATATATGCTCCCCGTTAGTGAACACACGCTACATTTCTTCTTTTAGAAACTGGCTTACCCATTCACTGTGTTTGTGTGTTCTGAAACTTGAGTCAATTGATTTGGCCTGACTTTTCCCTTAAGAAACACACACAGGTTATGTCAGTGCAACAACTCTACGCATGGAAGAGGTGTATGTGGGGGGGTGTGTGTGCGTGTGTGTGTGCACTCAGACAGTGGATTGGATTATTTATTTATACCCACATACCATTCACTAGAACTACAGAAACCTTAACCATGAACAATAGTCATGTCAGATGGTAAACAAGCAACTCTACCAATGAAGTTGATGAACTAAAGTAGATAAAAAATGATGCATAAAGGGGCACAGGCGGGTTTGGTTTTGTAGCTTTTTCGGTTAGCCTGATAAAAATGTATCCATTTTTCCTACTTCCTCTATGGTTGAAACTGGACACCGCTTAGATCTTTTTCCTATCCTGTGTGGATAAGTGCTGCGTTGGCATTGTTTGTCCACTGTGCTCATCCTCTGCACAGGCCTGGTGCTGTTTGACAGCGCCCGTCTGCTAGAGTGCGAGGAACAAAATCAGTCTGTACAAGCAAAGTGCGATCTGTTTCCTTCTACTAGATAAACAAGGCCTTTTTTTCCTCAGTGTTTGCATGCCCTGCAGTAAACTAATGGGTTTCATTTTAGAATCATTAAAAACACAAGTTATGAGCTTCACCTTGTTTTTATGGATTTCAATAAGTTACTAAAAAGGATAAATAAACTGTTACTCGGTGATTCAAGATTAAAGAGGAATAAGAAAACATGGATTTCATTTACTGTTAATAGTGGAGATATCCTCTGGTTTTAGAGTGGCTGGCCAACAAAGCTTGGTCTTGCTGCTGTGAATGGGATCTTGGCCGAAGCTGAGGTGATGTCATACAGGAGAGATTATTTAAGCATCCCTGTAAGTAAACTGTGACCAATCAAGGAGATGTATCATGTAGGTGTAACATTACCTGATCGAATCCCAGAGGCGTGAGAACTACTGTAAGACTCTCATGTTATAAAAGCTGATGGACTCATTCATAATCTATCAGCAGACCGTACAATACCTCTCTTCTTTTTTTTATTTCTGTTCAGTGTAGTGAGCTATTTAGACCAACCAGGTGTCAGCAGCGCTGCTTTTCTCTGTGTCCAAGGTGCTTTGTAGGGAGACGGCTCACGTCACGCACTGCAAAACGATCTGGCCTCTCAGTAATAATTGAGAGAATTTCCATTTAGCCTGGCTTTACCATTCAATCGCACACAGGCAGCAAAAATAGCAGCAACGTTATGTGGTGGGCAGTGATCCTCTGGTTTCCATCAGATTGAGATTTTCAATCAACTTTTACTCATTTGCTTACAATATTGAAAATGCAAAATCATTTTCATTTGTTCGCTGTAGCAGACTAGTATGTAGTAGTACAATGACATCAGCATATAAAGGTGGAGAAGTTAAAATAAAACATTGTTTTTTTTTCTTCCTTTTTTGGCATCTCTAGTTTGTCGCTTTGGTGTCAGTTTGATCTTTAATTTCTAAGCTTCATGGTTTAGCCCTCTCTAGATTACTGATGATAAAATGTGAATTCCTGTTTTACTGCAGTTTTGTGGGATCCAGGTTCAGTTTAGATTAGGGTGACCAAACGTCTGTATTTCCCAGGACATGTCCGTATTTCACGTCCTGTCCCGGACGTCCCGGATTCTTTTTAGAAAGTGAGGAAATGTCCTGTTTTTTAAATTACCTTCATTGGACCATTACATTTACAAGCACTAGGGCACTGCACACGACGCTGCGTGTGACGTAATCCCTGAGCTGCGTCAGTGCGGGCAGCCCTGTTCTTAATCAGAAGATGGATAGCGTGGCTGTCAGTACGCCAACAACATGCCAAAGCCAAATGAATGTTTACCGACGTTTTACAAAAGAGTTTCCCCGCTTTCAGACTGGGTCGAGACAAATGGGAGGCCTTGTGCACGGTGTCCAAAGCAGGCACATATGTCTCGGTGTCCAATGGAGGTGCAAGGAATCTGAAAAGCCACCTGGACACCGAAAGTAAAGATAGTCTATTGATATGTTTGTTCGTTTTTGGTACATTTTGAGTTATTTTTGCTACAAAAGAGGTATTTTTTGTTAATTAGCGCATTTGTAAATTTATTTT